CCCCATGATAGCCTATTGCCTGGGGGCCACATGAGCTGTCAGTCCGCCCCTGGCATGAACTCACCTCACCATTCTCTATGACCAGTAACTTTAATGCAGAAATTTTAAACGCTATCCTATGACGCAGCTTTGCAAATGTACTATTAATATAAATGAAAATTAAGCTGGATGTATACTTACAGTGAAAACACGGCTGACATTCTAAGAAATCACACCCAGCTAACACATCTTAAGATTGTTAGAATAAACAATTATCTAACTAGAGCTACCAATTAAAACTCCACAGACTTAACAGAGGTTTGAACGTAGGCCAGCAGGTTCCTTTTTACCTTAAAGCGGAGTTCCACTCACTCTGCAAAAAAAATAAAGTCAATCAGCTACAAAAACTGTAGCTGCTGACTTTAAAAAAAAAAAAAAAAAACAGCCACTCACCTGTCCCACGATCCCGCGTTTCCCCCACCGTAGTAAGTTTCACCTGCCATTCCGTATTCCAGGCGCTAGCATCTTTAGTGTGGGGTACCCAGCTGTGACAGCTTGCGGCATCACAGCCGGGTGCCCACTGCGCATGCGCGAGTAGCGCTGCGCTTCCTGAATGGCCCCATCGTCCTCCGAGGCCTGTCACCTGTCCAACAAGACTTTGGGGAGGGAGGGTAGGACGACAACTTCCGTTTCTGATCGCCTAGGTGGGAGCGGGTATCTGTCAAATTCGGGTACCCGTTGGAGCTCACTTCAGTGAGACCTGCACTGCGAAACTTCAGATCCCCGCTTACAGCTGCAGCTGAGAAAAAAAAATCCTTTGATCTGTGTGTTTTAAAAAATAATAAAAAAGGGAAGAAATGTCCGCAGATAAATAGGTACAACTTATGTAGGAGGAGTGATTTCATCTCTGTGCATCACGACGGCAGTCCCTTCACTGGGTATATTGCAAGGGTTTTCAACCACTTCAATTCTGCAATAAGGATGGCTTTCCATTTCTTTGTAGAAAGATGATTACAGAGGGCTAGTGCCAAATGTCTTTCAGGATCTTACGTCCATCAGATCTGTGAAAGTGAAACCTCATTTGTCCAGAACACGTATTTGGCAATTACTAAACCCGAACTACTGCACTTTACATCTTTCAACCTTAAAAAGTACTTTATTGTTAGCCATCGCCCTTTAAAAGGTTTCTGAATTTCCTCAGTCATATCCCCTACAACCTTTCTTCAAAAATGTTTTTGGCCTTGTAGCTACAGCATTCTAGATATTTGGTTCATGTAAGGATGGATATCTATCTATTTTTTTTCCAGAGCTTCCCTGGTATGAATGTATTACCTGTTGATCCTGGCAGTTGATTAACTAAAATGGAAGTAAAAGCTCAAACAAGAAAGCTGAACAAAGCATGTATTTCTTTAGTGTTTACTTGCCTCTCTCCAGAGAACTAAGTATAATTTCTCTCTGCTGTCTCCTAATCTGACACCAAGAGAAAAAAAGGTGACAGGGGAGGGACCTTCAGCACATAGCCTGTTATTGACAACCTCAGCTCTGTTCCTGTGTGAAGTTTGGGGGGGGAGGGGGGGGTCTTTTCTCTCCAATCAGCTATCAGGGCAAAAGTGTGCAACTGCAGCTCCCCACCTCCTGCTATGCGAGTATGAAAAATGCTTTCCGTCTATTGAGTTTTATATGGATGATGCAGATAAACCGGCACAACATATGTAGGGAGATTGGTTTCATCTCTGTATGACCCGAGGCCAGGCACTTCACTTCATATATACAGTTAGGTCCATATATATTTGGACAGGCACAATTTTAGATTTTTTTCAGGTATTTACCAAAACATATTCAAACTATAGTTATATAATGAATATGGACTGAACGTGCGCACTCTCAGGTTTAATTTGAGGGTATGTACATCCAAATTGGAGGAATTAGGAATTACAGCTTTTAAGAGTAGCCATCCCCCCTTTTTTCAAGGGACCAAAAGTAATTGGACAAAAGCATATAATCATAAATAAAATTATAATTTGTAATATATTGTTGAGAATCCTTTACTGGTAATGACTGCCTGAAGTCTGGAACCCATGGACATGACCAAAGTTTGGGTTTCCTCCTTTCTGATGCTTTGCCAGGCTCTAACTTCAGCCGTCTTCATTTCTTTGTTTGTGGGTTTCTCTGCCTTTATTTTTGCCTTCAGCAAGTGAAATGCATGCTCAATGGCATTGAGATCAGGCGATTGACTCGGCCATTGCAGAATATTCCACTTTTCCTTCAAAAGCTCCTGGGTTGCTCTTGCAGTGTGTTTTGGATCATTGTCCATCTGTACTGTGAAGTGCCGTCCAATTAAATTTTCTGCATTTGGCTGAATCTGAGCCGACAGTATATCTGTAAACAATGCAGAACTCATCTGGCTGCTTCTATCTTCTGTCACATCATCAATAAACACCAATGACCCAGTGCCACTGGAAGCCATGCATGCCCATGCCATCACACTGCCTCCATGTTTTACAGATGACGTGTACTTTGGATCATGAGCTGTTCTAAGCCTTCTCCACACTTTGTTCTTCCCATCATTCTGGTTCAGATTAATCTTAGTTTCACCCATCCAAAGAATGTTTTTCCAAAACTGGTCTGGCTTTTTTTTTTTTTTTTTTTTTTTTTAAGATGTTTTTTTGGCAAAGTCTAGTCTGGTTTTTCGATTCTTCAGGCTTATGAATGATTTGCAACTTGTAGTGAACCCTCTGTATTTGCTCTCATGAAGTCTTCTCTTGATTGTTGACTTTGACAATGATACGCCCGCCTCCTGGAGAGTGTCCTTCACTTATCTGGATTTTGTGAATGGGTTTTTTCTTTACCATAGAGAGGATCCTGCGATCATCCACCACTGTTGTCTTCCGTGGACGTCCATGCCTATTTTTATGTTGCTGAGCTCACCAGTGCGTTGTTCTTTCCTCAGAATGTGCCAAACTGTTGATTTGGCCACTCCTAATGCTTCTGCTCTCTCTGATGGATTTAATTTTTGAAGCCTTACAATGGTCTGTTTCACTTGCATGGACAGCTCCTTTGACTGCATGATTTATGTTCACAGCAATAGATTCCAAATGCAAGTGACACACTCAGAGAATCAACTTGAGACCTTTTACCTGCTTAATTGATGAAGAAATAAAGTAGTAGCCCACACCTGGCCATGAAACAGCGCTTTAATCAATTATTATTATACAGGATTTATATAGCGCTAACAGTTTGCTCAGCACTTTACAATATAACGGGAGACAATACAGCAACAATACAGTTCAATACACGAGGATTAGGAGGGCCCTGCTCCTTGGAGCTTACAATCTAAGACTCAATTGTCCGATTACTTTGCTCCCCTGAAAAAAGGGGGATGGCTACTCTTAAGATCCGTATTTCCTAAACCCTTCCTCCAATTTTGATGTACATACCCTCAAATTAAACCTAAAAATTAAAGAAAAAGTTTTTTTTTTTATACTATTCTGGGCCACTTTTCCTTTAAAGGTATAATCCACCTGGAATCACAAAGAAGTTGTGATAGCACAGTGGCTAAATGGTTAGCACTTCAGCCTGGCAGTACTAGGGTCGTTGGTTCGAATCCCAACCACGGCACCACCTGCCTGGAGTTTGCATGTTCTCCCTGTGCGGGTTTCCTCCAGGTACTCCAGTTTCCTCCCACACTCCAAAAGACATGCTGGTAGGTTAATTGGATCATGTCTATATTGGCCCTAGTATGTGTATGTATGAATGTGAATTAGGGATCTTAGATTGTACGCCCCTTGAGGGTCAGGGACCTTAGATTGTACGCCCCTTGAGGGTTAGGGACCTTAGATTGTACGCCCCTTGAGGGTTAGGGACCTTAGATTGTACACCCCTTGAGGGTTAGGGACCTTAGATTGTACGTTCCTTGAGGGTTAGGGACCTTAGATTGTACACCCCTTGAGGGTTAGGGACTGATGTGAATGTACAATATATATGTAAAGCGCTGCGTGTATTGACGGCGCTATATAAGTACCTGAAATAAATAAATATGTACGGTTTTACTAACATGTCAAACTTGGAGGAGTTTTCTTAGGCATTAAGATTTGTTTTACCCTTAGGCATGAAGGGGTTAAAAGTTAACAGAATCATAATAAAATGATGCGTGTTAAGACTTGATGAAGGCTAGTGTCTAACGGCACCAAGAGTGACAGGCTCTCAGTACTTCAGTGTTGTCACCCTTGGACTAAAAAGGTACATTAACGGCTAGATCACCAGATGGAAATAAAAGGGTGAAAAAAAACAAACAAATACAAAGCAAAAAAACAGAAAAACTAAATGCATCCACCATATCTAAGGACTGGTAAGCTGCAATATATTACATTTTTTGTTCTTGGATTTAGAGAGGTTTTAGCTGCAGGTATTTGTTTGCTTTGGGTCCAAAATTTCTGCTCTACACAGTTTTCAGAGGAGTGATATTTTATAAACGAGCAACGCATACAGTATGATTGTTTTTTTTTTTTTTTCCCCAAAGTTCAGCTTCCTTGAACCAGGTTACTGTTCTCACGTTTTACAACTAATAGAACACGTTTTGCCACCTTTACCTGCGCGGGAAGGCTACAACCGCCTCAACAGCATAGACTGCATCCACACGCACATGTCAACCGTGAAACAAAACATCCGACACCCTCTCGAATTACAAGCCTCAATGCCACATTCCCACCAAATGCCAGTGACTGATAAAAGACAATGCGAGCTGAAGTTTTCTTCCTCCGCGCCGCCGAGGAGGTAAATATTTGAGTAGCACGTTATGCAGGTTGTAACTGACCAGACTCAAGGCAGCAACTGAACAAGAATGCCAGGCATGTGATGACTGAGAGCCCTGAGCATGCTAATGGGACGTGGTGAGTTTTTCATCCGATACTTGCAGCAATGAGAGTCCAGAAAACAAAGAAATTGTCAAGGGAAAAAAAAACAAACAAAAAAACAAACAAATACAAAAAAAAAATGACTCACCATTCAGAACTTCATTGTTTTTTTTTCTCAGTTTCCGATACTTTCTGCTTTGCGGCCTAAACAAACACATAAAAAGTGCTTTTGTTGAGCCATGAGGTGTCTTGTCTTCAAAGAAAATCCATTTTTACCCCTTGTTCACATAAAGGCGGCCGCGCGGGCACGAGAGCCCATTCATTTGAATGGACTCCCGTGCCCCGCAGGGAAGTAGTCCCTGCGCCAATGGACTCCCGTGCCCAGCAGGGAAGTAGTCCCTGCGCCAATGGACTCCCGTGCCCAGCAGGGAAGTAGTCCCTGCGCCAATGGACTCCCGTGCCCCGCAGGGAAGTAGTCCCTGCGCCAATGGACTCCCGTGCCCCGCAGGGAAGTAGTCCCTGCGCCAATTGACTCCCGTGCCCCGCAGGGAAGAAGTCCCTGCACTTCTGAAAACGCAGCCCGCACAGGAACCTCGGTTCCCAGTACGGTTGCATTTTCCAGTGCGGGAGGCGTGCCATTAGAACGGCACCTGCCCACGGGCCCGCATTCCTCTGTGTGGGTGGTGCGGATGCACGGATTTTCATGCGGATCCACAGCGGCACCTCCCGCACAGATGTGAACCTAACCTTAGAGGATGTCCTTTATGTAGAAGGGTCTCTCTCAAATGTACTACTCCAGAAAAACCCCTTGAAATGATTTTTAGGTAATGGGGAACCCCTGCTAAAACCAATTCATTGGAGTCAGTGTCAAATATGCCCTATAATATTGTTGGCCAGTGGAGTGCCACCCTTACAGACAGCTAAATAGATCATTGGTATCCTAAAGCTGGCTATGCCAAGTGGCATTGGTCCTGGAAGTATGAAAGTATCATCAAATGGGGGGGGGGGGGGGGGTCAATCAACCACAGCTCAAGGTACCCCTAGAAACATCTGTAGGAACCCTACTGTTCCATGGAACCCTAGTTGAGAATGGCTGATGTAGAAGAACAGAAAACTATATATCTGTCAACAGGACTGTAACACCGGATCTTTATGCATGTTCAGTTATCTTACAGCCCTTTACAAGTACAGCCATAAGCCTTTTTTTTGCTTTGTGCAGCAATAACCAACCATTACAGGACAGGCTTGTAAATAAAAGACAGCTTTAAAAAGACCCTGTCATCAGACCATGTCAACAACAATCTTCCCTTCAGATTATATGTGTGTTATAATGTATTTTAGGCATGTTATTTACCCGTAAGAGCCTCCCTTTGTGTAAACCTCTAAAAGCCCTGAGACTGCTACTAGGTCCTGCCATCTTGGATTTCACATCGACAGCTCCAGCAGACTTAGAGCTGTCATTCAAGTGCATTCCCATTCAATTCTGCCCCAACAGATATATAAAAAGTTATGTCGGGAGGTGAGGGGAGGGGCTAAGGAGCTGGGTCAGCATAAACAGTAACTGGACTCTCCCAGAAGAGGAGTGAGCTGTGACATTTAAGGAGCTGGGTGTGCTAGGGAGCTGACATTTCCTGGAGTAGTTGAATCTGCTAGAGTTCAAAAAGGCACATTGCAAGTGAGTACAAAATTATTTATATAAGGAAAAAAAACACTGCAAGTAAGCATTTTAAACACTGGATATTTTTCTGTGCTTTACCTAAAGTTTTTCTGAATTTGGTTTTTAACCTCTTCAAGCCGGCGGCACACAAATGTGCGGCCTCCCGGCGTCTGGGCCTAGACGCTGAGCGGCTGCACATTTGTGTGCAATAAAAAAAAAAAAAAAACCCATACGTGGTGAGAGAATGTGCCCTGCCCGCTCCCAGCACACATGTCCGGTACTCACGGAAAGGTCCCGATCTCCTCTTTCGATCGGGACCTTTCCCGATCATGTAACCGCCGTGACGGTGAATCACGGCGGTCACATGGCCCTAAAACCCCACCCCCCGTCTTCTGAAACCCTTAAAGGGCCGGGAGGCGCCGGCGCCAAGGGGTTAAAAAAAACAAAAACAAAAAAAACCAAAAAAAACCAAAAAAAAAACCTGTACTTTACCCATTTAGGAGAAAGCAAACAGCCATCCTTTAAGTCTCCGCAGCTTAATTTACCATCAAGAACTGAAAGAAATACATGGTATTTCCAGGGCTAAGGGAGCATGTGACAGTGCTGGACCAATCACAGCCCTTGTGAGCTGTGACCCCCAGCAACTATTTGCTTTTACTGAATAAAGAAAGAAATAGAAGGCAAGTTAATGAGTCACTGGAGGTCTGCAGTATAAAGAGGATGTTTCAGGATTAACAAAAAGGAAAAACAATTCAGTACTCTTTGCAATACACATTCTCATTTTTTTTACTCTTTATAAAATGCTGCAAGCACAGAAAATTACTCATTGATTCTGCTAGAAATCCAGTGAGTTCTTAACTTCCTGTAGTGAGCTGACAACACTGTTAGGAGCTTGCTTGAAAATTTAAATAGCCCATAGATGATGCAATTTTCTTTCCTTCCACTACGGATTGCAGAAAGGAAAAATTGCTCGATTTCTGCATCAACCTTCCTTCTGTGACTTGTATAGAGCGGCTGCCCTGCTGCATTCTGAACAGAAGAGGCCAGTTGCTGGGCATATGTACCATTTATTTCAGGTACTTGTATAGCGCCGTCAATTTACACAGCACTTTACATATATATTGTACATTCACATCAGTCCCTAACCCTCAAGGGGTGTACAATCTAAGGTCCCTAACCCTCAAGGGGTGTACAATCTAAGGTCCCTAACCCTCAAGGGGCGTACAATCTAAGGTCCCTAACCCTCAAGGGGCGTACAATCTAAGGTCCCTAACCCTCAAGGGGCGTACAATCTAAGGTCCCTAACCCTCAAGGGGCGTACAATCTAAGGTCCCTAACCCTCAAGGGGCGTACAATCTAAGGTCCCTAACCCTCAAGGGGTGTACAATCTAAGGTCCCTAACCCTCAAGGGGCGTACAATCTAAGGTCCCTAACCCTCAAGGGGTGTACAATCTAAGGTCCCAACCCTCAAGGGGCGTACAATCTAAGGTCCCTAACTCAAATTCATACATACACATACTAGGGACAATTTAGACAGGAGCCAATTCACCTACCAGCATGCCTTTGGAGTATGGGAGGAAACCGAAGTACCCGGAGGAAACCCACGCAGGCACAGGGAGAACATGCAAACTCCAGGCAGGTGGTGCCGTGGTTGGGATTCGAACCAACGACCCTAGTACTGCCAGGCGGAAGTACTAACCATTTAGCCACTGTGCTACCATTTAGAGAATGCTTTGCATTTATTAAAAAAATGCAAAGCATTTTCTGATTGGACAATGGTGAACTCAGGCGGAGCACTAGGCACTGATTGGGATTTCAATACAACATTGCCTTGTCAGTGCATACATGTTAGGAGCTCACCGGATTTCTTGAACGTTCAACATGCACCTTTCTTTACTTGCAGCATTTTTAAAGAGACAAAACCTGGGAAAATATTCACGTATTACCAGATTGTACTGAATATAATTTGGTTTCCATTTTTCCCCAGACATACACTTTCAAAATTAAAGTAGAACTATAGGCACTTTTTTCATTCTGGAAAGAGTAAGGGAGGGTCATAAACCATTGTTTTAATTTTTCTATGTCCCATTGGGGAGATTTCCCATCAATTTCTGTTCCATAGCCAAAATAGGAAATTAGGGAATTCCCCGCAAATTAAGGCAATTCCTTGGGGACCCCTGGGTTACCAGAACTAGTGCCCCCATTAGAAAATTCCCTCTATTACTGTTCTGGGGACAACCCAAAATTTGGGGTTTTCCCTTACTTTCACTGAAAATGGTAAACAGGAAAAACAAAGGGTAAAATCTCCTTAACTGGGGGGGCACAGACAGCAATAAAAATCTAATAGGTGTTCTAATCCAACTCCACTCTGACCAAAAAGAAAAAAAAAAAAAAAAAAAAAAAAAAAAAAGTTTGGCTTTATTCTTCAACAGTTCAAAGGTCAATTTACCAGTGACACCATATGACCACTGGGTGGCACTGTACTATTGGGAGTCTTTGTAAGGAGTCATTACACCTCTGGTTCAAATCCCCGTGTTCAGCAAGGTACTGCTAAGAACATTCTGTTACCAACCCTCTCTTTGTGCCTAAAATTACCAGCCAATGTTTAGTTTACAATAAAAACATATGAATGTTTGACTTAAAGAAGGACATTTAAAACGGAACTTGAACCTGTTTTTATGTTGGCTCCCTTCTCATCAATATGCTAATAACATTTTTAAATAAAACCGGTTTTCATTACATAACTTATTTTTTACCTAGTGACAATCACTGAGCCTCTATGCTTCTCTAGGTGATGCAGTCAGATCATGGCTGGTGTAAGGGGTCTGAAGGTGTTGTATAGAGCTTACTCAAAACATCACAGCACCCTGCCTGAGTGCTCTTTTCAAAAGCCCTCAGTCCTGATGCAAGCAGTGGGCTGGCTATGTAAAAATGAAAATGTCTTAATGGGTGGATGTCTATTTGGATTAGTGGGCAATCCTGTATTTGCTTACAGACCGCCCAGGGTAACAGCCACATGGGATGCTAAGCCTCCATGTTTGAAAAAGCTGGGCGGTCAGGGGCAGTTAGGCTGGGGAGAAAATCGTAGAATAATGCTGGACGTCCTCAAGTCACCCCCGCCCCCCTCCCCAGGGATTTTTGCTGTCCTCCATGTTGTCCAGGTAGATCAACCTCCAAAAGGTTGTCTACACCTGGCCTATACAAAGTACTGACAGTGACCATCTCTTCTTGCATGTAGCCACACGCCAAGCAGGTAACTGCTGTCAGGAATGGGTGTCCAAGCCTGGATGCATCCGACTGCATCCAGGCTCGGACCCCCAAGGACTTGGTGAACAGCTACATGCAAACAGCGCTGGCAGCTGTCAGCCTGTCAATACTTTGTATAGGCTGAGGGGCCGCTGCTATTTGCATGCACCTGCCATTATAGTCCCAAGATCCTGCAGATTTTGGCCACTGGAATCTGGTGGATGCAGTTAAATGGGCGTGTGGAGGAGGCCTTATGTTGAATTTTACACTTTTAAAGAATGTATAGCATTAGGTTTTGAAAAGAGAAAAGGGATTAGATCTTCTGTTTGGTTTTAAAGTGAAAGAAAAGCCAGTGTCTTAACTATTCTTAAAAAATGTTCCCTCCCTTCTCCTCCAACCCATCTTGCCTAACCTGTATACAAAAAAAAGATCTGTGTACTTGCCTATTTTTAATCCAGTCCAGTCATGTGATCCCACAGCTCCAGCTTCCCTGTGTCAGCAAGCAGATGCTGCAGGGAGGAGGGAGCACCGACAATGGCTGGGCCATGGGAGCCAATAGGTGACATCAAGATTCCCAGAATTCACAGCTGTTGAGCATTCCCTTACATAGAGCTGCAGAATCATGTGACCAATCTACTCCAGTCATGTGATCCTGCAGCTCCATTGGTTGGAAATTCCAGGCATGCTGACATCACCTGTAGGTTCCCATGGTCAAGCCATTGTCAATGTTCCTCTCCCAAGCAGCAGCTGCATAACACAGGAGAGCAGGAGCTGCAAGAGCACGTTACAGGACTGCAGCGGATTAAGAATAAGTACACAGATCTTGTTCTATACAGGTTAGGCAGGAGGAGGGGGAAAGAAAACATTTTTAAGAATACCATAGTGTTATCCTCTTCCACGTTATCCAGGGCTCTTTAGGAGAGATTTACAATATGTTTTATATAACAAAGGGAAATATCTTTAAAGGTCACCTTTTTGAGCATGTTGCACACATATTTAGGATGTAACATGCGCCAGTAGTGCCCCCCCTCCCACCCCAATCCGCCCAGTGACCGCAATCTGAACTACAAGTCCCAAATTCCACTGCAGCAGACAGCTGGTAGTTCTCAATGAACTGCAAGGGTGCCGATACGCACCACTGTAGTTCATTCACAAGCCCTGTAGCTTTCAAACTGACAGCCTGTAAACAGGTATGGGCTGAAAGCTGTAGAGCTTGCCTTCAGGAGCCTAACATTGCACTCACCATCCAATGATCGCGAGTACAAAACTTTCCAGGCTCCTGCAAAAAAAAAAAAAAAAAAAAAATACCCAAGAGGTGAACTTCTACTTGAACAGAGCCCCAGACAGAGGTAGAAACCATACAGGGTTGCTTCCTAAGCTATTCAAAGTTTGAAACCATGTTCTTGGCTTGACATATAATGTTGGGTTCGCCTTAAAGAGACCCTGTCATTTCACTCATTTGTTAGTGTAAATACTAACCTTGTTAGCAAATCCCCTGACCCTTCCTTCCTCTGCAGCAATCACCCAGTGTCACAGCTGGTGTAGGAATTTAGTGGAAGTAGTAATGCAACCCCCCCCCTTCCATTCACACGACAGTACACAAACCTAGGAACTGGCTGCTAGGTACGAAAACAGCATCATGGACACATGCCGGCCCCCTTGCTTGCCAGCACCAGGTATTTTACTGTAAAGACAGAAGAGTCAAGGGCGTACTGAAGAGCTAATAGTGGGTGGTGTGGGAGGTTTGGCTTTACATGAGCACCGACACATTGCCCTGAATGTCCACTTTGTCCCTGACAGCTAGGTCTGCCACCCTAAAAGTCTTACCACCAAGGACATATTTAACATCAGTGGGTAATGAGTTAAACCAGAAGCAGTAGGGCAGCACAGTGGCTAAATGGTTAGCACTTCTGCTTGTCGGTTCAAATCCCAACCACAGCACCACCTGCCTGGAGTTTGCATGTTCTCCCTGTGCCTGCGTGGATTTCCTCTGGGCACTCCAATGACATGCTAGTAGGTTAATTGGCTCCTGTCTAAATTAGCCCTAGTATGTATAAATGTGAGTTAGGGGGACCTTAGATTGTATGTCCCTTGAGGGTTAGGGACTGTGGTGAATGTGAGATATATATATATATATATATATATATATATATATATATATATACGCTGCGTAAATTGACGGCGCTATACAAGTACTTGAAATAAAATAAATAAGCAGTGACATCTAGAAGCTCCATTTACTCAAGGACAGCAGACAGCCTGTCTCCCCTGAAGGCGTGTACAAGGATCGTACTGGTTGTTCTGCTGGATTAGGGTACATCAATGTGACCTTCATAAGAGAGGTCACAAATATGACCAGTTTACAGCTGATAAACAAAATACCTTGGGTTTCTTTTCAAGATCAGCTTCTGTCTTGGGGCCAAGCAAGTGTAGAACCTGAGGGGACAAAACAGAGGAGAAGGTCAAAGGTTAGCAGAAAAAGGACAAAGGCAATGGAGGAATCTGAAGAGAATGTACCTTGGCCAAAAGGTAGAATGTTTTGGATAGTTTAGGGCTATTTACTAAGTGAGCAGTGGCACGAAAGGTGCTCATTTCTACTTGAAAGTAGAACTACAGGCAGAAACGTTTATCCCAATTTGGATAAGGAGGATTTCTTTTTCACCTCCTGTCCAAAAAAGTAAGGGAATCCCTGGTTGTCACAGGAACCAATGTCCCCATTGGAAGATTTCACCTCTATTACTATTCTGCTGACTAACCAAAAATTTGTTGTTTTTTTCCCCCACTTTGTGATAATGGTCACCAGGACAAATAGAGAGGATGAATCTCCCCAGTGGGGCACAGACAGCAATAAAGATCTGACAGGGGTTCTAATCCCCTCTGCATTCCATCCAAAACTAAACTGGAAAAAAAAAATCAAAAAGTTTGCCTTTAGGTATACATTAAGAGCACCTGTCTCCTGCACATGTAAACCATCAAAAGCAATATTTTAGCTGAACTATAAAACATTGTGTGCCTTTTAGGTGCAACAGGAAGAAGGGTCATCCGCACACTGGAGGATTGAGGAGTATAGTGTATATATATTGATCCATAGGACACACTAAACACCAGGACATGAATACAGGACTTGTTAACGTGTTTCACATGATCTTGTGCTTAAAGCCTTTTAGGTAAAAGGGATGCACTCTGACCAGCCAATGTGAGGTAAAAGTAGGAAGCGGCCTCAGCCGTCGCTCTGCCGCAAACTACGCCCACTGATGTTTTGCCCCGCCCACCGGGGGGCCTTAGTCATAGAGGTCTATGACCAAGCCCTGGTAGGTGGGGTAAATTGTACCAGACATAAGGTTTACAGAACATTGACGGCTGAGGCCTTCTTCTTACTTCTACGTCATCCCTTTCGGCTACATGTCTGACACTCTCTGGATGAGTGCATCCTGGCACTGGCACCCTTATTCCTGGAGAGCAAGGACAAACTTTTCCTTCTTGCTTAGAGCGGCACTCCAAGTCTTTCCTAGGTCACATTGTACCCCCTCTCTTTCTTTTTATAGATACACGTTTATATAAAAATTACCTGTTCATTCTGCCAGTGGGGGAGATTTACTAAAGCTAGTTCACTCAGAATCTGGTGCAGCTGTGCACGGTAGCCAATCAGCTTCTTGTTCAGTTAAGCTTTGGCAATAAAACCTGGAAGCGGATTGGTTTCTCTGCAGAGCTGCACCAGATTTTGCACTCTCCAGCTTTAATAAATAAACTCCAATGACTTCCACTTGCATGTTAGCGGTGGCAAAGAACTGTTGACTCGTCTACCGTCTGTAGCGCAAGTCACCACTTGTAAGCATGATCCAAGTCTTATTCACCCTGTCAGGCAGTGCTGCTAGTGACTAAAGCAGGCCATATATTACACAACCACAAGTTGCAGGAAATAAAATTGCTTTAGTTCCCCATCAACACAGTGGGTTTTCCCCATCAACACAAATTTGTGTCGATGGGGAAAACCCACCTGCAGCGCTATTGTGTTCTGTCAGTGAGGAGCCTTCCCTGCCAGCAGAATGCAAGGGTGGCTATAGCCGCTGGCAGGGACCAAAAGAGAAAAACCCAACAGCCTGGTTGTACTAAAGTCAATGGATCAACTTCAGTACAACCAGCCGGCCCATGGATGGATTAAATCTTGCCTGGTGCCCGCAAAACGCCTGAGATTCGATCCATCTATGGCTGGTTTAGACAGCTGGGAGCCTGTAAGTAAGAATGTTTTGATTGACAGTGGCTCTTCCACAGCCCATCCCTCATCACTATGACTGGCCCATGACGTTGGTGGAAGCTGCCAAGCATCATCTGCAGTCTCTGTCCCCAACCCACCGAGCGGTGAGGGGTGGAGGGGACCAAGTGGTCATGTGACTGAAGATAGAAAGGTCTTTGGTTAGGGAATTGTAGAGGTCTTTTAGAACTGAAAAGGGGGTGAAATCCCTACTGATGGTGCCAGATATGTCTGCACTAGTTTTGCATTTATATACACTTTAAAGTGTAACTTCTCTCTCAATCAATATTGACTATTTTCAATCCTTATGATGCCAGCATTAGTAAATAAATGAGAAGGTATACATGCATACCTCGATTTACGAACACCTCGGATAACGTAATTTTTGGGTTAAGAATGAAAATCCATTGAAAATAATGCCTCGGTTTGCACATTTTTTTCACAATACAAACAGATTAATAGGGTTTCAATGCATTTACGAATTCTTTTTTTTAATCATGTCCCTGTACAGTACTATGCCTTTAAAGTGCACTTTATAAAGAGTTTTGAACAGATAAAACTTTTTTCTGACCTCCGGAACAGATTAATTGGTTTTCAATGCATTTACATTTTTTTTTTAATCATGTCTCTTTATGCCTTTAAATTACACTTTAAAGAGTTTTGAACAGATAAAACTTTTGACTTTTTTCTGACCTCCGGAACAAATTGCTTTTCAATGCATTCCTATGGGAAAGCGCGTTTCGGTTTATAAATTTTTCGCAATACGAAAAGTCCTGAAGAACGCATTAAATTTGTAAACCGAGGTACGCCTGTATTATAATTTATTTACTTGTTTTAACTTTTTTTTAATCATTTATTTACACATTTTTAAGTTTTCTGGTTTTTAGGTCATACATCCCAGGGGTCTTCAGAAGTTTTCTTAACTAAGAACACCTTCCTCTGCCTGCATGCCTGAGCTAAGAGCAGATTGATTCTAGGAAGTAAATGCTACATGAAACTTTTTTATTTCTCAGCAAAATAAAACATGGAGACATGGATGGGTGAGGGAATTTGCTTTGAATATTAAAAATTAGTTACAGTATTTTTGGTTTGTGGTGTTCAGATGCAGTGTAGTTCCACTTTAATGAACAGCAAGAATCAGTGTAAGGAAATCATTTGAACAAAAATTAAAATGCATTTTTTAATCAGATACATTTTTTTACTGTAATTTTACAACTAATTACAAAAAGTACACATACATGAAGGCTAGGTTCACATATGTGCGGGTGGTGCGGCTGCGCATCCGCACGAAAATCCGTGCAGCCACATCACCCGCACAGAGGAATGCGGACCCACGGGCGGGTGCCATTAGTTTTAATGGCATGCCACCCGCACTGGAAAACACAACCGTACTGGGAACAGAGGTTCACGTGCGGGCTGCGTTTTCAGAAGTAGTGCAGGAGGTTCTTCCCTGCGTGTCACGGGGCACGGGAGTCCATTCAAATGAATGGGCTCTCGTGCCTGCGCAAAACGCGGCCCGCACATATGTGAACCGGGGGTAAAACAGATGTAGTTACCGATGCAGGTTCTTCAGTTGTCTAACGCTGTCATAACATTCTAAGCATCGAGATCAGAGTGTATGACATGTATGTCATTCCATTTACCTGTAGTGTAAATCAGAACCTGTATACTCTGAAAGGCATATGTGGAAATTCGTGTTAAAAATGAAAAATTACCTGCATGTCTACCTCGTTCTTGATAATTTTTCCATCTGCCCACTTCAGTCGGTTCCTTGCTTCCCCTGCACATAGGATTTGGAAAAACAGAATCTACATTGAACCAAAAATAAACACTGTGCCGCCTGTCATTTTGCATGCTGAACCAAGAACTATATGACTTGGCCTATCTAGTCACAGGGGAACCTATATCTAATGCACACAAGTATCTAGAGGAACGATAACAGACGAGATCATGATGTACTGGGTGCATGAAAAACAGCATCTGGTTGCTATGACTGCACTTCCGTCTCCTACACAAACTAAGGGGCCGATTTACTATCCAGAGAAATTGGGTTTCTGCCCATCCAATTTAAACAGCTCTGCCACACAACACCGCCCTGTCTGGCAGGGCAGGGGGTCTGATTTTTATCTGCAGCAGGTCAACAACATTTCCTGCTCTTTTCCGAACCTGTGGACTAGGCAGCAAAAGTAAAAAGACAGCTGATGAAGCTTATCTTACAACCCTCTTGGTAGCACATGAGTACTGCAGCACAACCGACTGGCTGCTTGTGCTGCCCCTCCCTGCACCAGGCTTGCCAATGCTGTGCAGGGGTTGCAAGATACTGGGTCAACATTCGTGTACTTACACGGATTGCTTTTCACTACATACATTTAAAGGATCTATTAATGAATACAGAGCTGCATGTGTGTCTGTTTGGACTTCACTTTTATAGTGGAAATCCAGCCATAGAGCATAATGTGTACCTCCATTAAACCATGTGTATAGAGTTAGGGTGGAGACAAAAAAGGTATTGACAAGTGTTGACATTGTACATTTTTTTAGAACCAGGTTTAAAGGATTTCAAAGTTTTTTTTAAATATCTTTTTGCAATCTATGCATTAAGTAAAAAAAAAAAAAAAAAAAAAAACAAAAAAAAAAAAAAAACAAAAAAAACTTGAGCCCGATCTCAACCCAGCATGTGCATGAGAGCAATGGCTCACTCTCTCCTCACTGGACAGAGAGGAAGCAGTGAAAGCCATTGGCTTCTGATGCTGTCAATCACAAGCAGTGTGGAGAGAACCAGGGACAGGGCTGAGCTGTGTGTCTCAAATGGACACACAGGGCCTGCTCTGCAGCGAGCGTGCACGAGTGCCCCAAGAGCAAGCGGCTTGCTCTGGGGGCACTTGGCATGAGAGAGGGGCCAGAAGCACCAGCTGGGGACCCAAAAACAGGGGGAATAAGGGCTGATCTGTACAAAACCATTGCACAGAGCAGGTACGTATGACATATTTGTCATTTTAAAATAAATTTCTTTAGAATTGCTTTAACTTAAAGTGGAACTTCACTCTCTCAATCAACATGGACTATTTGTAATCCTTATGCTGCTAACATTAGTAAATAGACAGGAAGATATATTATATCTACTTTATGTTTAACTTTTTTTTTTTTTTTTTTACATTTCTTCAGTTACTTCCTGGTTCCTATGCCTAGGCAAATGATGTCATACATCCCAGGAGGGAAGGAGGGGTTTGCTCAGCTAAGCACACCCTCCTCCCTGCATGCCTGAGCTAAGAACCGATGGATTCCAGGAAGTAAATGCTACACGAATCCTCTGCCCAACTCAAGATAGCCTTGGCCAGAAATGCTAGAGGGGAGGTTTTCAAAGTTATTTGTCAGCAAAATAAAGCATGGAGACATGGATGGATGTGGGAGTGTGCTTTGAAGTTTAAATAATGATTTAAATAGCATTTTTGATTTGTGGTGCTCAGATGCAGCATAGTTCCGCTTATATTTAGTAATTAGTACTAATTATACAAGTTTTTCTATTATAAATCTTTGGGTGGGTGCATCCTCTACTGACATTTTAAAAAGTGATACAGATCACTTTTATTCCCAAAAGAGGAGGTTCATGCATTCTTAGTATACAGTATGTAGTCCTCTTCTGAAATGTCCCTTTGCTCCTGTAGCCAGTGGTTCCATAGCCACTGTCCCCGGCACCCCATTTGATGGTACTCTGAGCTAGCCATGTGCACCCATACATGCTCCTTCACCTGAGCTGTGAGCGTCCATAAAAAACACACACAGGCAGGTTACCCCCTCTGCTGCACCATCCTCCCAGCAGTTTAAGTGATAATAAAGCCCTACCGCTCCCACTTCCCTCGGTGTCGGAGGATCCAGGGAGTGGCACTGATGGAGCTTGGACCGAACAGCCATGACAAGGTCAGGACGTTTGTGGGACTGGGATTTGGGTTTTTAACCTTAATGCTATGAAAGCATTAAAAAGTACAGAAGTGTAGACTTTAAAATTACTTTAAAGAGGTTGTAAATGTAAAGGCTCAAGGTTTTTTTCCTTCATGCATTCTATGCATGAAGGTAAAAAAAATTTTTTTTAGATATTTATTACATTTTTCAGATAAATACATATTACATTTTTAATCACATAAAACCAACAAATAACTTTTATTCATTTCTATTCACCTTTTCCACTTCCCTCCCCACTTCCCTAATCCCCCCACCTTCCCCGTCACCTACCCTACAATACTTTCACCCCTTCTAATTAGAAATAAGAGAGATATTCTTACTATATTATCTATTCACTTCTATTCAACTTTAATGTGAACTCCTCCCACTTACTCCATCTCAGGTAATATGGTCCCATTCGATCTTCTTGCATATAGATAATTTTTTCCATCCTACAGATCTGATCGATTCTCTCCACCCAGTCTTCCTACCTCGGCACCTCTACTTTCCGCCAAAACCTGGGTATTAATCCTTTTGCTGCATTTAGAAAGTACCAAATACCCGTCTCCTTATATTTGTTCACAGAATACTCCGAACAATGAAAGAGACAAGTCGCCAGTTCCAAATCAACATCAATTCCAGTTATCCTCCTAATTAATTTCACTATCTCCTTCCAGAATACTTGAATTTTTGGGCACCCCCACCATACATGATACAATGTGCCACTCTCTCCACATCCTCTCCAACACCACCGCGATTTCTCACCACTCATCTAATTTTCCACTTCCGGTGTGATATGCCACCTTGTCAAACACTTATAATTCATTTCCACCTCTCTTATGGATATATTCTCGTAAACTAATCTAAATATTTTCCTCTGTTTATCCTCATCAATCTCCACTCCCAAATCTCTTTCCCAGTTAACTATATATTTTGGCTTTGTATTTGTGTCTAAATCTGTGAGAATTTTATATATATCTTTGCTGTTCCGTGTCTCCCATCTCCCCTTGATTCAAGCAGTCTCTCAAACAGATTCCACTCTTTTCTAGAATCTTAGGGGTTTTGAAAGGTTCCTAATAAAGTGATTCAATTGGTGATATCCCCATTCGTCTATCTTAGTGAAAACCTCTCCACCGCCCTTCTCCAAATCCTTAAGTGACTTCAATTCCCCCTCCACCATTATGTCTCTCAACTGGGCGTTTTTCTTTCTAATCCATTTTCCCCACAGTCTTCTCCTGCCCTGGAGGGAAAAATTGTGTTCAACGGCATTAATTGTGAGTTAAACTCCCATCCCATTTGTTTGTGCATTACATCCCAAACTCTCATGACATTCAAAGTGTACAAACTAGTGTTATCTAATTCTCTATATTGTGCAGGAACCCATACAACTTCCTTCAATATCCTACCACTCAGTGTATTTTCAATTTTAACCCAACTTTTCCCACTTGGGTTATGTGTCCAATCAAATATTCTTGACAAAATTACTGCTTTATAGTATCTTTTAAAGTCTGGCACTCCCAAGCCCCCCTCTCTTTAGTTCTATTCAAAACTTCATAAGATATTCTAGGTTTTTTATTCCTCCATATATATCTTAACATTTTTTTAATTATCTTAAAGTAAGCTTCCGGGAGTTTGATGGGGACCATTTGAAATTTGTGTAGAATTTTAGGTATTATCATTTTTATCAAATTTATGCGCCCTAACCAAGTCAGGATTCCTCCTCCCATTTTCCTTAATTCTAACTTTATCTCATTTAGTAAAGCCATATAGTTTAGTTTATATAAATTCTGATATGAATTCGTAAGTTTTATTCCTAAATACTTTAACTCTCTACTCTTCCATTTAAAAGGAAATTCTCTAAGTTTTCTCTTTCACTTTTTGAGAGATTAATGTTCAGAATCTCCGTCTTGGATATATTGATTTTCAAGTTTGATAGTTCCCCATATTCCCTCAAACATTTCATTAAATTTGGGAGTGTTATCCTGGGATTTCCCACATAAAACAAGAGATCTGCAAATGCAGCCACCTTATGTTCTCTATCACCTATCTGAATACCCTTAATATCCACATTCATCCTAATTGTAGACAGTAGGGACTCCAAAGACAAGACATCCAATAATGGAGACAACGGGCACCCCTGTCCTGTACCATCTGACATTCCCAAAGGATTAGACCTCTCACCATTTACCATTATTACTGCGGAAGGCCCACTATACAACTTTCCTATCCACTCTCTCATCCTAACACTTATCCCCAGCACCTCTAAAGTATCCAACATGAAGCCCCAACTTACTTTGTCGAATGCCTTTTCAGCATCAATAGACATCACCACTACCGGGTCCTTCCCTTTTCTACTATTCTGGATGAGCAATAGGGATCTCAACCCATTATCCCTGCCCTCTCTTCCTGAGACAAAGCCCACCTGGTCCTCATGTATCCAATCGGGCATCAAATCCTTCAACCTGTTTGCCAAAACCTTTGCATATAGCTTGGTATCCGTATTCAATAGTGAGATAGGTCTATAACTTGCACACTGGGATTCATCCTTTCCTTCTTTATGAATCAATACCACATGAGCCTGTAGGGATTCCCGCCTCATCTCCATCTCTCCCCCCCAATGCGTTCATATATATATCTTCATTTTAGGTATCAACAATTCATTATATTTTTTATAATATCTCTCCATGTAACCATCTGGTCCTGGACTTTTCCCAGACTTAAAGCTTTTCAGTGATATTTTTATTTCTTCTTGCGTAATCTCTAAGTCTAAAAACTTCATTTGTACTTCACTAAGTTTTGGCAAACCTGCATTTATTAGATATGTCTCTCTTTTCTCTTTTTTTAACTCTCCCAACTTATTTGTATTGTCATGTGGGGTGATATTATACAAGTTACTGTAATATCCTCTAAAACACCTCGACGATATCTTTAGTTTAATGTACCAATTCTCCTTTGGGGTTTATTTTTTCAAATATAATTCCTAGTCTTTTTCCTCAGATCTCTCATTAGATACTTTCCTGGTTTCTCTCCCCATTTATATCTCTCACTTAGGACTTAGCACATAGCAGGTTTAACAGGTTTTTTATTTTAAATGTAAGCCTAAAGTATCACTTTAATGTTGCAGATTAAAGTTTACGGTTTATTCTCAATGCTTAGAATTGCAGCTAATGAATGTTACACCACTGCAGCTGTACCACGTAGCAGAAACTCACCCCCATCAACAAGCCCATGTTAAAGCGATATCTCTCCTCCAAAAGCTGCTCTTTGTATGTCTGGATGACAGCTTCAACCTGGAGCAAACAAAAACAACTGTAAGCACCAATTACAACTGGGAGACACTGGAAGTCACATTGACAAGCACATGAAGATATTATTATACAGGATTTATATAGCGCCAACAGTTTGCTCACCGCTTTACAATATAAAAAGGGAGACAATACAGATATATAAGAGTCTACAGTTGGCATGAACAGTGCCCTGGTTATCCACCCTAAAATTAATTACTACTGGGTGTTGGTTAAAAGACAAAAGCATAAACAAGTTATATGAATGAACTTTTTTTTTTTTTTTTTTTTTCACCAGTTCATTGCAGGTTCCGGAGTAAGATCACTTGATCCATTATATAAAATTTGGAAAATGAATGATATCACTTGGGCTCTGTCGGCAGTTTGATGCCAACAGTACATTGCTGGTGCTTTTCATGTAAATAAAGCGAATAATTAGGAATGGCTGTGTATTTAATAAACAGCAACCTAATGCATCGTATATAAATAATCAGAAAATTTGCAACCAACAGACCAACCTGTTTACCATCAACCTAAGATTAAAAAAAAAAAAAAAAAAAAAAAAAAAAAAAAAGACGCTGTCGCTTTCCCTATTCAAGACAAAGTGAAAGTGTCTGTGGAAAGGCTGCCCCCCCACTCGCTCCCCCAGCAAATTAAATCACATTTCATGCTGCCCTGGCACAAAATACATGTTGCTTCCAGGTATGGAGGCAATGTGACCTTATTACATGATATAACGCTTACTAGGCCTGAGCACCATCATGTAACAGAGGGATCAATATCACGGCTCTTCTCTAGGCCCTGACACCAGGTATAGCAGAAGCTGCAAAAGAGGCAGGGGAGCTTTGGAGAGACACTTTGCTAGTGAAAGTGTCTCTTTAACCACTTCCAGTCCAGACACTTTCACCCCCTTCCCGTCCAGGCCAATTTTCAGCTTTCAGTGCTGTCGCACTTTGAATGACAATTGCGCGGTCATGCAACACTGTACCCACATGAATTTTTTAGCTTTTGTTTTGAGACAGATAAAAACTTTATTTTGGTGGTATTTATTCACCACTGGGATTTTTATTTTTTTTCCTATATAAAATGAAAAAGTCCAGAAATTTTAGAAAAAAAAAAAAAAAAAAAAAAAAAGTGTTTTTCTTATAAAATTTTGCAAATAAATAATCTTTCATAAATCTTGAACAAAATTTATTCAGTAACTTTTTAGTAAAAAAACCCAAAATTAATTTATAACCAAAAAGTATAATTTTTTTTCTACATTTTTATTTTATTTTTTTTTTATTTTTTTTGTCATCCTAGCAGTACAGTGTCACCATAGTGACACTACTACTTGTGGGGGGTGATGAAGATTTTTTTTTTTTTTTTTTTTTTTTTTTTTTTTACACGGATTGCTTTTAAACCCATATAGGCTGTAAAAGCAATAATTTCTCCTCCTCTCTGGCTGCATTCTTGTAGCCATTGAGAAATACTGTGTGAGCTGTGATTGGTCACAGCTTGTCACATGGTACAAGGCTGTTGTGAATAGCCCTGTACCATGTGACCTCTGATCATTCACAGATTTCACACATAGTAAGCAATGATGTCAGAAGTGACATCTTGCTTACTACTCTTCATGTGATCACTAATTGGCCAAAAATCTTACTAGGAGGTCAAGTGGTTAAATTGAACCTGTGGCTTTACTCAGAATCTGCACCTTTCATTAGTAAAATACAGGGGATGTCATTGCTTACTGCCACCTGAAGATACTAGTTACACTGGCTGTGTCTGGCTTTCACATTTGAGAGTCACAGATTCAGAACAAGCATGTAAGTGTCAGAATTCCTTATCCCTACACTTGTTCCAGGTCAGTGACTCGAAGAGCTAAAGCCAAATATGACCAGGAAGTGAACATTTCCAAAAGGCAAGGTCATCAACAGCAATCCTGACAAGTGCACTTTAAGCTGGCTTGGCATCTGCAAAATATGATAGAGAATACTTACAGCTTCTTCTATCTCTTCTGGTGTCACGACTACTCCCACTCCACATTCTTTCTCAAAATCGGCCACATCAATGGGGTCCACAGGGTGGCCTTTTACATAATCCAAGGCGGCTGGATAAAAGGAAAGTAGAAAAAAAAAAAAAAAAAAAAGTAAAAAAAAGTAAAAAAAAAAAAAAAAAAAAAAAAAAAAAATCGCCTGCTACAGCCAAAGGGGACCGGAGGATAATCAAATTAACACAGGACAGGGAAAGTCAATGTACGCACACTGTGATCCTCTGCGGAGCTAATTTAATTTTTAACACATTAGTGGTTTAATAAAAAAGCTGCTTGAGAACACCCCAGAGGGAGTGCAGGCAAGAACTTGCGTGTATCCCGAGGTGAACCTTAGAGGAGTAAAGGAACACACAGGCCGGATTTATACAGCATTATGGTGCGGGTCACATTAGGGAAGAACAGTGTGAGATTAAAAAAAAGCCAGTCAATAGGAGGAAAGCGGCCAACAGACATAAGTAGGCAGGTTAGAATACCTATGCCGATCGCTAGTTTCCTGCGAGACGAGCAGTGGCTGCAGCCTGGGTCACTCCTAACCACTGCACCCCCCCCCCCCCCAGACCTCTACAATAATATAAAGTCAGGTCAGCAAAGCAAACCTTGCAAGGCTATGGAGAGCTCCACATATACAGTATGATGACCTAAGGGTGGTCAGAACATTCCCCTACCTCTCCAAGTAACACGGCTGCTCTGCCCTGAAGAATGAAGTCAACCATATTCAGGTTACAAGTACATCTCTCAAGAGTTCCAATCTCTGCCTCTGGAGACATGCCTGACCTGTGCCTGAATCCTGGAGCTATTTAACCCCTTCACGCCGGCGCCTCCCGGCCCTTTAAGAGTTTCAGAAGCCGGGAGGCGGGGTTTGGGGTCATGTGACCGCCGTGACATGATCGGGAAAGGTCCCGATCGAAACCTATCCGTGAGTACCGGACATGTGTGCTGAGAGTGCGCGCTCTTGGCACATGTCCTTTTTTAATAGAACGCAAATGTGCGGCAGTTCGGCGTCTAGGCCCAGACGCTGGGAGACCGCACATTTGCGTTCGGCTGGCGTGAAGAGGTTAAAGAAACATGGTAAAGTTTATATGCAGCCACATTTTTATTTCAGTTTAGAATAGAATGGGAAATTATTGGAACCTCAGCTATGCGTTTACGGTTATCTGGGGCGCTCTGTTGAAGAAAAAAAAAAAAATATATATATGTGTTGGTAGGACATACGCTTTAATCAAAATAAAAAACAGGGGTGCTGCCCCCGATTTATACTTAGCCACCACCCTGCGACATGTATGCTTATATATAAAAAAAGAAAATCAGGCTTTTAATTTTAAGCTACTTTTTCCCCGTGACCCTGTTAAATTAAAAACGCTCCGGATGAACGCATGTCACTGCAAAGACATGCAGAAAATTGTTTTCTACGTGTCCTGATCACTATGAAAACTCAGCTCCCAGGTGTGGTGCAGTGAGCTGCAATAAAATGCAGATATGCTGCATTTTATTGCAGCGTACAAAAAGGGATTGCATATCACTGTACAGCAGCACAATGCACTGAGCTGCTGTGCAGTCACATGAAGTGTCACTTTGTGCAAGTAGAAAAAAACATCACACTGCCCCCTATCGCCAGCTCACTGCAGCCAGAAGGGAGAGTCACCTGCACACTAAACTGCTGCAGTTTATGGTGTTGGCAATGCGAATGGGCCCTAAAAGTAAAAATGCTGCATCCTGTTAACCTGCGCAAAAAAAAAAAAAAAGGAACAGGAATATGCTAACTTCCTGTAGTGAGCTGGAAACAGTGCCTCAGCTGCACTAAAGCAAGGGTATCAGCCATGCTGTTCTCATCTGTTGACTACAGAACACTGTTACCCAAACCAGGAACGATCATCCTGCAGTGACAACGCTGCTGCTCCACAGATGCACTACAGTCCTGGCCAAAAGTTTTGAGAATGACAAATATTTTTCACAACATCTGCTGCTTCAGTGTTTTTAGATCTTTTTGTCACGTTACTATGTTATACTGAAGTATAATTACAAGCATTTCATAAGTGTCAAAGGCTTTTATTGACAATTATTTTGAAGTTTACGAGGTCAATATTTGCATTGTTGACCCTTCTTTTTCAAGCCCTCTGCAATTCTCCCTGGCATGCGGTCAATCAAATTCTGGGCTGCATCCTTACTGATGGCAGCCCATTCTTGCATAATCAATGCTTGAAGTTTGTAGGGTTTTTTTTTTGTTCACCCGCCTCTTGAGGACTGTCCACAAGCTCTCAATGGGATTAAAAATTCAAGAGAGTTTCCTGGCCATGGACCCAAAATTTCGATTTTTTTTTTTGTTCCCCAAGCCACTTGGATATCAATTTTGCCTTATGGTAAGGTGCTCTATCATCTGGAAAAGACATTGTTCCTCAAACTGTTGTTGGATGGTTGGGAGAAGTTGCTCTCGGAGGATGTTTTTGGACCATTCTTTATTCAAGGCTGTGTTCTTAGGCAGAATGTGAGTGAGCCCACCGCCTTGGTTGAGAAGCGACCCCACACATGAATGGTCTCAGGATGCTTTGCTGTTGGCATGACACAGGACTGATGGTAGCGCTCACCTTTTCTTCTCTGGACAAGGTTTCTTCCGGATGCCCGAAACAATCAGAAAGGAGATTCATCAGCGAAAATGACTTTCCGCCGGTCCTCAGCAGCAGTCCAATCCCTGTACCTTTAGCAGAATATCAGTCGGTCCCTGATGTTTTTCCTGGAGAGAAGTGGCTTCTTTGCTGCCCTTCTTAACACCAGGCCATCCTCAAAGTCTTCACCTCACTGTGTGCAGATGGACTTTCTTGGGCACCCGAAGCCTTCTTCACAATTGAACCTCTTTTCTTGAAGTCCTTGATGATCCGATAAATGGTTGATTTAGGTGCAATCTTAGTAGCAGCAATATCCTGATGAAGTCACATGGTTTAGTGACGCAACACGTAGATACGCCGTGACGCAGCTTCCGGTACGCAGCGCGGATGCCATCTCTGAACACCCATATTAATCCTAACCCATGCAGTACACCCAAGCAAGAGGTTATAATGTGATTGTACCAGATTTCAACAACTGAGTGGGCATTTTATTATTTAATAAGAGTCTTATTTACCTAAATTATTACACTATGGAGGATCTTTTTCTTTCTCACCATGATCCATGGTGAGGGGCATATCTAGCTGATATATCTATCCTGGAAGGCCTGGAGTACCTTATTTGAAACCTGAGAGGGGACTACAGGTGGAGTACTACAGATACCAGTCAGTATTGGAGGAGGATCTAGGAGTGATCCTGAAGGTGTAGTGGCCCATTGGATCGCTGAGTGGAGGTGAGGGGGAATTTAGGCACGGAGGATAAGTGTGCTGACACCTTCACAGACATCACCATTATCACTCTGCATGAGTTATTGTTGTTTGGAGCACAAATTTGATGAGTTATGGACTTTTAGGAATTTGATTATTTATAGTTTGGTCACAATTCACTTAGAGTGTGATTCCTTTTTATACAGGGGATGTATATCATATGAATGGGGGTTTTGTTTCAAATAGTTTATAAATTATATGATGTATCTTACACTCATAGCGTGAATGATTGCACGTATTTGAGGTTAATAGAAGACCTCAGCTTACAACTGTTTTGTGAACACTTTTTTTGGAGCACTTTATGTATAGAGTTTTTTTCGGTCATATCACGTAATAACGGTGTTGGAATTTGTTGCATGTTTTGATTTATTGACATTATTGATTTAGCACTGCACTATAATATTTGTAATATCTTTGCCTGTCAATCCCTTTTTGAGCAAAGCAATGATGACTGCATGCGTTTCCTTGCAAGTAACCATGGTTAACAAAGGATGAATGATTTCAAGCACCATCCTCTTTTTAAAGCTAAACCGCAATCAGCATGACAGAGTGATCTCCAGCCTTGTCCTCGTCAGCTGGTCCTTTTGTGGCAGGGCTAAAATGCAGTGGAAAATGTTTTTTGGGATTAAGTATTTTCATGGCAAAGAGGGACTTTGCAATTCATCTGATCAATCTTCATAACATTCTGAAGTATATGTAAATTGCCATCGTAAAACCTGAGGCAGCAGACTGTGAAAATTAAATTGTGCCATTCTCAAAACATTTGGCCACGGCTGTACACTGAGTGTTGTCACCTTAGGACAGGAAGTATGTTACCGGCACGATAACCCTTAGATGTGGTAGCTGCATTATCTTTTTTTTCTAGGACTAGGAATCTATATATATATATATATATATATATATATATATATATATATATATATATATATTTATATAAATAAAAAAAGGTAAGTTCTTGGGTTTAGACAAATTTTAGCCAGATTTACAAGAAGCAGTCATCAAGCAAGCCCAAACTGCGTTCACACCAAGCCCTGTATACCCTCACCAATAGTCACCAATTGCAGTTAAAGTACCATTGAGCTGTAGATCCGTCCCAATCTTCTTGCGGATGATGTAGCCCACCAGGAAGTCCAGTCTCCTTGCGTCTTTAAGGCGTGTGGACACATTGTAGAGCAGCGTTCCGGTTACCTTATCAATGGAAGGACCCAAGACGGACTGAGCCTGAAAATAAGCATACAGCACAATACTACTGAGATTTAATAGAACACATTGTGTAATAAGGCTCAATGGGAGCAAATATGTTGATAAACCAGACTGCAGAAAAAAAAAAAAAAAAAAAAAAAAAAAAAAAAAAAAAAGCAAAAAAAAAAACGCATCAAACCCATACAGCCTCTCCATATCCCAATAGATCACTTGGGTGAGACATTAAGAGCCCCCCCCCCCCTCAATACTTACCCGAGCCCCTTCACAATCCAGCAATGTGCACAAGAGCCTGCTTTGGCTGAGAGAGCAAACAACTTGCTATGGGGGCACCCAAGCAGGCTCATTCCCGAGCCCCTTCTCAGCAAGTCACACAGAATTGTTGCTCAGCCCCCAGCTCTTCATAGACTGAGACAGCAGTGGGAAGCCAGCAAGCCAATGAGGAGAGAGAGGGGGCAGGGCTGAGCCACAGCTCTGTGTGTGAAAGGACACACAGAGCAGAGGGCTCAGGAGCGAGCCTGCTCGGGTGTCCCCATAGCAAGCTGCTTGTTTCGGGAACAAATTGGCAGGAGGAGAGGGTTTTATCTTATTGCAATCTATGCATCAAGGTTAAAAAAACCAAACACAAAACCCCAAAAACACAAACCCCAAAAACACAAAAACCCCAAAAACACAAAACAAAAACACAAAACAACCCTCACCTTCTGCATGCAGTCCCTCCACAGCCCCACCAAAATACTTACTTGAGCCTGATCTCAACCCAGCGATGTGCAAGGTGGAGCAACAGCTTGCTCTCTCCTCACTGGACAGAGGCAGCAGGGGAAGCCATTGGCTCCTGATCCTGTCAATCACAGCCAGTGAGCAGAGAACAAGGGATGGGGCAAGCTGCGCTGTGTGTGTCAATAGACACAAACAGCTAGCTCTGGAGCAAGCTTGCACGAGTGTCTCCAGAGCAGGTGGCTTTACATGGAGACACTCAGAACGGGAGGGGCCAAGAGCGCCGGTGGGGGACCCAAGAAGAGGAGGATCAAGGCTGCTCTGTGCAACACCACACCACAGAGCAGGCAAGTATGGCTGGTTTGTTTTTTCTTAAGCCGCCTGTAATATCACTTTAGTTCATCATTTTTTAATATTCAAAGCAAAATCTACCCATCCATCCATGTCTCCATGCTTTATTTTGCTAAGAAATCACTTTGGCATTCCTGGCTGTGGCCATCTTGAGTAAGGGCAGATGATTCATAGAGCATTTACTTTCTGGAACCCATCTGCCCTTAGCTCAGGCATGCAGACAGGAGGGTGCACTTAGCTGAGAAAACTCCTCCTCTCCTCCTGAACATTCCTGGGATGCAAGACATCATTTACCTAAGCATGAAAACCAGGAAGTAACAAAAAATTTAAAAAAATGTAACAAGTAAATATACCTATTTACTAATGCTGGCAGAATAAGGATTACTAATAGTTAAAATTGATCGAGAGAATGAAGTTCCGCTTTACAAATCACAGAACGGGGAGTATTCTCTGCATGTATGACTGCATGGAAAGGGTTACCTCTGTAAGAAGGGGGCTGTAAATCGAGACCCCACCCACTGCCCCCTAACAAGTTCTGAATAGTTCACCATCTGCCCGCTGACGTCATTGGACGGGTCTGGTTCTGCGCTGGTGATTGAGTGCTGCAGCCTCGGCAGCGAAACTGGAAACCCTACACAGTGCCGGCTGACAATCTACAAATAAATCTTCACATTGATAGAGATTACCTAGCACTGCTAATAGGCCTCATGTTTCTGAATGCCCAGAATGACCAGATACTGCCTACAGCTCCAAAGGGAAAGAATGACAGAAGGGAATAGGTTACTACTAATGGGCAACAGCCCTTTATAATGCTTTGATGAGCTGACTTATACTTAGAGATATTAAACCCAAAAACAAACATTACCGATTCTTCGATGTGATGGCTTATTTTCACCTGGTGATCCAGCCAGTAATTCCGTTTTCAACAGAACAAGCTGTCCTGCAGATGTAGCAGAGGTATGAGACAAACCATCTACTGACAGGGGTGCTTACGATGATCAGATTTTATTTATAAAAACCCTTTATCCCATAAGGAAAAAAAAAACGGATTGCTATAACTGCTTATAAAGTGTTAGCTGCAGTTCATCTTCCATTTGTTAGTGTGTTTAAATCTGCTAGTACATCTAATACTCCCCTTCCCCTAGGCTGACAATGCTGATGTCCAAAGATGCCCCCTGTGCTCCTTCATCCAGAGTGGGGGTGCTCTAATACAGGAGGTGTGTTGCTGGCCAGATCAGGTGAAAACAGAGCAAAAAGTCTAAAAACAAAAATAAGAAAAACTAATGCAACCACATCTGGTTCATCACATTGGTAAGCTGCAATATGACAATTTTTGGCTTTTGGTTTAATAGCCCCCAACCCAGAAATAGGCAGCAACGTACCAGTACATTGCGTTGACTGTAGCTGCTGCCCTGCCACAGTACAGTACTGGTGGGTCAGCAAGTGGTTAAACAAAAAAAAAAAAAAATACAACAAAAACAAATCAGAACAAGGGACGTATTTTATATTCAGATTCAAGTGTCCCTTGTACTGCTGGCTGCTTTCTTCTATCTAATACTCCCCTTGTTCCTGTGGGCCACGTTTTGTGCCATTTGAATGGACTCCCATGGCCCCGGGACACGCAGAGAAGTCGTCCCTGCACTTCTTTGGAAACCGCAGCCCGCACACAGAAACCTCGGTTCCCAGTGCAGTTGCGATTTCCAGTCGGCTGGCGTGCCATTAGAATTAATGGCACCCGCCCGCGGGTCCGCATTCTTCTGTGTAGGTAGTGCGGCTGCATCCAGTCCCTCCACAGCCCCACCAAAATACTTACCTGAGCCTGATCTCAACCCAGCGATGTGCAAGGTGGAGCAGCAGCTCGCTCTCTCCTCACTGGACAGAGAGGCAGCAGGGGAAGCTATTGGCTCCTGATGCTGTCAATCATAGCCAGTGAGCAGAGAACAAGGGATGGGGCTGGGCTGAGCTGTGTGTGTCTGTGTAGGTGGTGGCGGCTGCACAGATTTTTGTGTGGATCCGCAACGGCACCACCCGCACATATGTGAACCTAGCCTTAGTCAACATCCGAAGTATCTGCTCCCCCCCCCCCCCCCCCCCCCCCCCCATATCACAACAGAATGATTACAGCAGAGAACAAGGGATGGGGCCAAGCTGCGCTGTGTGTGTCAATGTGTGTGTCTGTGTAGGTGGTGCAGCTGCACGGATTTTTGTGCGGATCCGCAGCGGCACCACCCGCACATATGTGAACCTAGCCTTGGTCAACATCTGAAGTCCTCTGCTACCCCCCCCCCCCCCCAATATATCACAACAGAATGACAGTTGTGGTGGTTAATATGATCAGCTGGGCCTGTCATAAGCCCTCATTAAGAGAGCTGTCCATATCCACCCTTCCTGCCCCCCTCCATTCATAGAAGCTGTACTATGGCTGTCCGTGGTAAATGGTTTGCCTCAACCCTACATCTGCAGAACAGCTTGTTCTGTTGAAAAACAACACGGACTTACTGGTCAGTTCACAAAGTGAAAAAAAAAAAAAAACAAGAAAAAGCTAAAAAAGTAATGCAGCCATCACATCTAAGAATTGGTAACTTGCAGTGCAACAAATGTTTGCTTTGGGGTGCATTACAGCTTTAAAACAGAAGGGAGTAACCTCAGCAGATCTGCATCACTTTTCATATTGCCAATACATTTGCAGGCCAGAGTCGTGCTTTACCTGGCAGGACCCCATTTGAAGGTCGAGCACTCCACACTTTTCTGCTCAAAAAATGTTCCTCTCGGTATAAACAAAATAAAAGGAGACAAAACCAGTGCAATCCAGCAGCGAACAGATTTCATGGTAAATATGTACATTCCGAGAATGTACACAAACACTAAACTAGTGTTTCCTTTTACTGAATGAAAACATGACCGAGCTGATCATGAGGGAGCAAAATTCGTCAATTTACTATGAATCTGCAAAAAAATATCCAAAACAAACGCCACAGAACTGGCCTGAACTGAATTGTTCCTCCTCATCGAGGACAAATCAGATGAGATCTCTCCACTCAGTACAATGTGTGTGACAACCGGCTACAAAACAACTCCCCTTCCATGGAGGGAAAACAAATAAAAAAAAAGGGACCATTAAGCTCCCTAAAGTAGTCAGTAGACAAGAAAATCTATCAAAAAGATCTCCCCTTACAGTGGGCCCCCCCCCCCTCTTACGCACTGCAAGAGTTAATAGCTAGTTCATGCCTTGGGGAACAAGAACAAGCACTTTTACTGACCTAATCCTTGGCTTTGGCAGCAGGGGGCGCTCAAATCTTCCCCTGTGCTTTGGTCTGTGGGTGGTTCCTTGGTGTCCTGATATGCCATGGAGGGCTATTGGACATAGTACTTGATAAGGTCAGTGTCTGTGACCACCAGAACATCTGGATAACAAGGACATGTGGACCTGGTCCTACAGCATGGTGTGAGCCTGAAGGGATTAGGGGATTTGTTAAATAATGAAACTGATTAACCATAATTTCTGGAGAGCCAAGTTAAATTTCACTTGCCACACTCAGGCCTGATTACTGCCAGACTGCCAAACCTGTTGAATCAAGAAAGAAGCTGTCTGACAAGGTGGAGCACGCTAAGAGATCTCAGAAAGCAACATCATGCCACGCTCTAAAGTAATTCAAGAACAGGTGAGATACAAAGTAATTAAACTGTATTAGTCTGGAAAGGGTTACAATTCCATTTCTAAAGGCTTTGGGATCCCAGGGAACCACAGTGAGAGCCATTATCCACAAATGGAGAAAACCTGGAACAGTGGTGATCCTTTCCAGGAGTCGCCGGCCTACCAAAATTACTCCAAGAACACAACTCATCCAGGGGGCCATAAAGGAACCCCG